GTTGGAGAAAAGCAGGCCACCAGGAATACGCAGAACTGTGGCTCCTGAAACATCCCCATCACAGTCCCCCAAACCCGTGAATGTGCACATTACAGGGACATGGGGAATTAAGATCGGGGATGGAATTACTTACTAACCAGTGACTTCCAGATGAAGAGACGACCTTTTGCCGACTCTGAAGACAGAGGAATTCACACAGTTTGAAGGTTGGAAAATGGTCCCCAGAGGAAGCCAGAGAATCAGGGCCAGGCCTGCCTCCTGGTTCAGTCCCTGTGAGTCCTGTGTCAGGTTTCTAACCTCCGCTGCTGTCAGATGACAAATCTGCCACGTACACCACTGATCTGCCACTTGCTGGTAGCAGCTTTTAGAGGGCACAGCCGCCACCTCTGAAAGTTGGCACCAGTCCTTACTTGTGTTTGATGGGTACGGCTCAACTTTATTGTTGTCATGATTGTTTATTTTTGTCATTTTTTTCTCTCCATTGTACCACAGAAGATCTTAGAAAAGTGTGTGGACCTGGAGGGGAAGAAGTTTGCTCTGACAGCAAAAAACCTTACACGCCAGCCCTTGCCGCTCTGCAGGCTCCCAGCAGCCTTTGCAGACACCAGCGTGGAGACCTGCACGTGGTCGCCTGAGGGCTGTGTGTCCCCGATCTGGTGTAGGGGCTCAGGGTGCCCCCTGCTACCCAGAACAGTGAGGTGCCCCTCACTCCCAGAAACCACAGCGGTAGGGACGGTGTCGCTGCTCTGTGCCCTTGGCCCTCACCTGCCCCACCGGTGTACATTTGAACAATAAACCTTGTGTGCGTGGGAGGAACGGCTCCCACCCGCTCCTGTGGCAAGCGCTGCGAGTGCAGGAAACCATTACGAGAAGGGGGAAGAGAAAGTGAGCATTCATCAAGGAGCAGAGTTTTAATAATACTTGAGAATAATTTTTCCTCGAGGGCCGTAGGTAATGTGAACACGTGTTTGTCTAATTGTTTGGGGATCCAAAAAGTGAATAGTGAACTTTGGAAATTCGATGAAATGGAGAGCACCTTCCCTAGCAGTGAAATTTAGGGTGAAATTTAAGGATTGCAGATGAGAGCAGAGAGGTTGGGCCAAGGGGAGCTCAGGGAACACGAAGGAAGAGATAAAAAAGACAAAGACGGGGCCTCCGGGAAGATTCTGAAGCCTCAAGCCCAGACCCCTGCCTGCCAGACTCTCGATTTGACCTGTAGTAACCTTTCTGCTCCGGAGCTCCCGGCCTCAGCGCCCTGTCAATCACGCTGTCAATCACACGCCGAACACCTGATGGGCGGCGCCCTAGGCCCAGGCCAACGTTTAAATCTCTTAAACCCAACACATTCAGCGCTCGTGCCATTTCCCTTTCTTGCTGGCTCAGCCCACTCATTTTGCACATGCCATCACCTAATTAAACTTCATTAAACTCCGCTGCTCTTTTCTTATGCTGTGGGCCAAGATCAGTCCTTTGTTCATTGTGCACAAGAACCTGGAAACCCATCCTGGATGACGTCATCCATGGCAACAGTTGCTGTCCAGTGGAATCTGCACCTCTGGGCACATCTTGGATAGCGTCTCGACCTCTTTCTCTCTCTCCATGCTTCTGCCTTCTTACAGCATTATCTGCTGGGTCCCCTTCTAAAAGCCTATGTCTCCTTTTCACCTCACCTCGGCCTGTGTATCTGCCTCACCTCTCCTTGAGGTCACTGAGTAGGGTTTAGGGTTACTGGGAGACCCGACAGCACAGATTCAGTGCCTCACACTGTATTCCCAGGTTGGAGGATCGGTGCACCCAGAGAGCGGACTGGTTGGAAAGGAGGCCTTTTGGAGGTGTGGATAGTTCTCGTGTGGGTAGGAGGGCAGTGGTGGCCGGTGGAGGGCTGTGGAAAAGAAGCAAACTCCAGGATCAACCAGAGAGAAGAAAGCAGTCATAGGGGCTGTGAGGCCAGGCCCAGCTGGCTCAGGGTTGCCCCTGCTATGACCCCCAGGGCATCAAAGTGCACAGCAGCAGCCCCTAAAGGGCTGGTGCAGGTGGAGCCATGAAGGAGTCTGGTAGAAGTTTGGGGACCCCAGTAGGATGTCATCCAGGCTCCAGGATGGACGGGAGCCATCTGGAGAGGAGCTGCTGGCCAAGGCTGTTGGATGAAGTAGCTGGCACCCAGATTTGTCCCTGAACCTGCAGGCTCAAGAACTCTGTCTCCTCAGGGCCAGAACTGATGCAAAGCCAACCGCAGAGGACTGGCAGGTGAAAGGAACTGCAGCTGTCAGGTGGATGCAGAGGGAAGAATCCCCTCCTGGGCTCTGTGGGGAGGGAGCGATTCAAGCCCAGTGTGGACTTGAAGACTTCCTTGGCCATATTAACCTCTTGTGAAGCCACAGCGACTTATAGCTCATTTGTCCCTTGAGGTGATTCGTTGGGAATCTGCTCTCATCCATCAGATTTGTTTTTTTGTTTTGTTTTGTTTTGATACCTGGGATTGAACTTGGGACCTTGTGCTTGCAAGGCAGGTGGCCTAACCACTGAGCTAAATCCCCAGCCCTCCATCAGATTTGTTTTAATATTTTATTGTACAGCTGGAAAACTGCATTTCTGAGTGCCGAAGGACTCGTGTAAGGAATCCAAACTTTGACTATTAATCCCAGAATATATATTTACATATGCATTAGGGCACTCTATATTTTTACCAATTCTGCTGTTACACATTTAAAATCCTGTTAAAGATTATGCCCCATAACTAACTAGTTTAAATCTATTTATTTTAAAGAAGCAGAAAGCCTCAAGTTCTCTAAAAGATATGATGTCCTTTAAAAACTGATAGGAATTTTGGGATTCATAAGCTAGTTGAAAGTTTGATCATAAATAAAGACAAAATCTCCAAATAGGCATATGCATGTGCTCACTCATGAAGTTCTGTACACGCATGTATTAAATTTGGAGAATATTTGTGAGTAGCAAGCTGAGAATGGGCCATTATAATTTCTCATCAAAGGATCTGGGTGGGAGTTTTAGCCAGTTCACTCACTAGTGGGAAAATCCAAGGGTGAAATGGAATCAGATTTTTTTTTTCTTTTTTCTTTTTGGTACCGGGGATCAAACACTGGACCTTGCTCTTACGAGACAGGCGGCGACACCATTGAGCTAAATCCTCGGCCCTGGAATCTGAATTCTGGCACACCTGCCCTGCCTGAATACGGGAGCTCTAAGGCTGGCCTGCACCTGCAGGTCCTAGTGGAGACTGGTTTGTCAGCCACACAGAGCTTCTCCCACATTGGCAGGCCCTGGCCCACCAACCGGCATTGCTTCTCCTTCCCTCCTCCCCTCCTCCCCTCCTCCTCTCCCCGCTGCCTCTTCCTCATGGTTGGATTTCTTTGTGATGAAGCCTGGAGTCCCTGCAGAGGTGTGGGCTGCTTCTGGCTTGTGTGGCTAGGGAAGTTGCCAAACAAGTTTGCCTTGGTGAACTCTCACAGGAAAGGGGCCTGCTGGAGGAAAGAAGAGAGTCTGGGAGAATTTAGGATGTGCTGAGGCCCTCACCGTGGATAAACGAGCCGATCAGGTTTTCAGCGTCTCTGAGGATCTTTTGCACCACCTGGAATGTTCGGGCTTGGCAGGGGAGGAGCTCGGCTTGGAGACAGAGGGCTCCGGTGTTGGTGTGGGCCTGGGTGACCCAGTCAGTGTGCAAAGACCTGACGCCTTCTTGTACTTAGCGTCTTCCCCGTGGATCTTGCCTGCTCTGTAGACAGGTTCATAAATGACGGGTGAAGCGGAACCACCAAGAACCGGCAAGCTGGTGGCTTGGGCTGCAAATTCCTGCAGATGTTTGGTACAGAGATGAGAACAGCGTTGAATTAGAAGGGGTTGTAGGGTACCTGAGATGGCCAGGGCGGTGTTGAACGGCAAGGAGAACTGAGCCTGAAGAGCGCCACGGATTGATGTTTAGATCTCAACCATGGACAACCAGGTTGTTTTTCGGATTGTATGGCTTAGATTTTGGAGTGGAACTTTACAGTGCATCCCCTTTTGGAAGGGCCACAAATCCCAAGAGAAAAGGTTCGGGCTAAGATTTTCCTCCATTCTGCGAATGAAGAACAAGCTGCAAGGTCAGCGTAGAAGAATGCTGCATCCAGCTCTGGAGCCCAAACAGAGTTCGCTGGCCACGAGCCCTAGCTTGAAATGGGCTGTGGCGAATTTAACTATGTCATTAGCACTGATTCATGCCGGCATGTGTCTCCTCGAAACAACCCAGCTCACCAGCAGACTATTTCAGAAGTTCTTTTGAGTGCTGCAAAGGAAGAAAGGACAAACCTTAGAATTTATGAGATATGAGACGATGTGTACTTAACTATTCAGATTACTTCATTCATATTTATTGCAATGACTGTTTTATTTGAGTTACTTTCCAATTGTTTATTTACCCCTCCTTTACTATGCTTTTTCTTTCTTTTTGCTGTGCCAGTGACTTGCACTGAGCTATATCCCCAGGCTTTCTACTGGCTTATCTGTTTATTTATAGTATTTTTATTTTGCCTCATGTCCTACAAAGAGACAAAGTTGCCCAGGCTGTGCTGAAACTTGTGGTCCTCCTGCCTCAGCCTCCCAGAGAGCTGGGATTATAGGTCTGCACTACCATATTGTTTTTATCACTGTATGCTTTTTGTTTTTTTTCTTACGTCTGTTTTTCTCCTTTTTCTTTTTCTTAGTGGTTTTCTTTTCTTCCTTTTTTTTTTTTTTTTCTTCTCCCATTTCTACTGGTTTGGAAATTGTATTTTTATTCCCTCACTAATTTTTCTCCAAGTTTAAGTATAAACTTTTGCTTAACAGATTTTAAGATGGATCAATATCTCCACCCTCCTCTGTGGCATAGTGAGTGTGAGTGCCAGTTGATTGCTGGCTTCTTCCGTTTCATTGTTTCATATCTCATGCATCTTACTTTAGTTGCCCTGCAAGTTGCCATTCCTACTGTTCTTTGAAGATAACACTGCATTCATTTCTTTTTGCAGGGCAACAAATTACTCCAACTCAGCTAAGCAGGTGATGGTCAGGGACTCTCATGAGGCTGCACCCTCTCTGTCCACCAGGGTAGTGCCATCTCAGTTCTCAGTGGGGTGGGAGCCTGGGACTCCAGGCTCAGTCCTGTCTGTCTGACAGACTCACAAGCTGCAGGACTGAGGACTCAGTTCTTTCTTGTGCCGTGGGAGCCTCTCCATGGGAAGAAACCCAACGTGCATGATGGAAGGGAGAACCCAGGTGGGAGCCATCGCTTTTTTATAACTTAAACTTACAAATGATGTCCCATTATTTTGCTGCACCGTACTTGTTTGAAGCAGGTTGCCAGGCCCAGCCACCCTCAGAGGGTTGTGCTTAGGCTTAAATATCAAGAGGCTGGAATCACTGAGGGCATATCTGCTGCAATATGCAAATTTAACCACTCTCTTATCAGTTTCTCCCCTGCCATTACTTCCTAGTATGTCAATTAATAACCCTTCAAGTGAAGGTCTGTGAATGAGACATCCTCTGCCTTGATGATAAGATATTTTATTTTGTCACTACCCTTGAATGATGATTTATCTAAATGTATGTCGACTGACAGCCTGACTTTGGCCATTTGAGGATGTGATTCCATTGTTCTTTGGCTTCTGTGGTCAGTAAAGAGAAATCGGCTGTCAGCCCACTGTTTTGTTCCTCTTGTTGCTTTTCACAACACAGAGTACTAACCACTATATGATCACAGTGAGCTACTGGGATGCCACTCTCATTGATTTTCAGAGCTTTGTCTTTATTATTGTTGTGCAGCAGTTTCACAGTGATTTATTTAAGCATAAATTCACTGTAGCTTATCCTTATCAGGACTCTCTGTGAGTGTTCAATTTGAGTAGAGTTGCCAGATACAACACAAGAACCCCAGCAACACTTGAATTTCAGGTAAGTACAGACATTCCTCAGTTAACAACCCATCTGGGTACCAACTGTGCAGACTTATGACCTGCCACTCAAACTTATGACTCATCTTTTGTTGTTGTTGTTTTGTACAGATCTATGCATCTTGTTTTTAGAAACTCAATGTCTTTTTTGTGTAGTAAACCTTCTCTATACAATACTGTAATTTTTGTTGATTGTACGCCACAGTGCTATAGTTTTATGTTCTGGTGTGCATAAGTTATGCTACTGCATGTATGAGTCGCTCAAATAAAATTAAAGCCATCCAGCTCGATTTTCCTTTGACCATTTCTTTGTTCTGAATGTTGTAATGTACATGCTATATACAGTTCCTCATTTAGAGACAGTACATTTGACAATGGGAATGGAGCTCAGTCATTAAATGAAGAGTGCCTGTATGACCAAAATATTGTGTAGAAACTATTTCTACAGAAATTTTTGTGTTTATCTAAAATTCCAATTTAACTAGGAATCTTCTATTTTTAGGCATGTAGAACACGGAAGTCTGAGGATTCTCATCTTGCATTTAATCTGGAGACACAAAGTGTTCAGATTCAGGGCCAGGGATTTAGCTCAGTGGTTCCACCACCTGCCTCGCAAGTGCAAGGTCCTGAGTTTGATCCCTGGTACCCAAAAAAACAACATTTAGATTCAGATACTGCATTACTTCATCTCCATTTCTTCCCTCTGAATTCTTACTGAATTCTTATTCTTAGTTTCTCTTTTTTTTTTTTTTTTTTTTTGAGACAGTCTTACTATGTAGTTCAGGCTGGCCTTGAAGTGACTGTGTAACCCAGGCTGGCCTCAGACTTGCAGTGATCCTCCTGCCTCAGCTTCCTGAGTGCTGGACTACAGGCATGTGCCAGCCATGCCTGGCCTGCTATCCTTAGTTTCCTACACTAATAATAGAGTATCACAATCTGGGTGCAGTGACATCTGCAACAGAGTTTTATTGCCTCATAATTTTGAAGTTCAAAGGTCTAAGATTAAGTGTCTACAGGGCCATGCTCCCTCTGTAGGGTCTAAACATCCAGGACCTTCCTTTTCTGGCAGCTCCTTGGCTCCAGTCTCCTCTGTTCCACAGGGCTTCCTCCTCCAGCTTTCTTCCCTGGGTCCCTGGGTGTGTCTGTGTCTCACAGCCTTCACACAAGGACCCCTGCCCCTGGGTTTAGGTCCCCTCTGATCCAGTACACTCTTGTCTTAACTTGATTACGTCTTCAGTGAGGCCCTGTGCAGAGCTCGTGTCCTGAAGTTCCCGGTAGATGTGAATTTGGAAAGGACATTATTCAACACAGCACAATGTCAAGTATTTGGTTTTTTCAAAAATGAGATGTTTTATGAAGCAAAAAAAAAAAAACAAAAAAAAAACAAAAAAAAAAAAACTGAAGGCATGCTTTACTCACAAATTAAAAAGAGAGTCTAACTGAATCTATTCATCCTGCCCTTAATTCAAGCTACCTTCCAAGTTTCTATTTGTTGTTGTTGTCTTTGGTATGTGAGTGCTGACCTGAAGAGGGGCTGGCGTGTGCTTGGACCTGGGAGAGGCCCTGGTGGTGGGTGAGAGGAAGGAGTGCATGGAGAACTAAGGGGGTGCACGGGGACAGACTCTCCTGCCTGTCCCGCTGCAGTCCGCTCTGCTCGGTCCCATGTGGGACTCAGCTCCAGAGCTGCCCGAGCAAGGTCTCAAGTTCCATTCCAGCTCACCTTCCATGCCTCTGCCGATTCGTCTCCCTTCAAAGCTACTTTTTAATAGTGCTCTTGAGAGTCTTTTCCCTTTTTACGGCTCTGCAGAGTAAGCAGGTCCATGTCTTCACTTCCTGAGCTGCTGGCATACCCATCCCAGTGCTAGGTGCTTTATGTTCAAAATGTGTTTTCCAGTGTGTGACCTGTGTAATGGCTCGGTAGTGAGGGGCAGTGGTGCAGGACCCCAAAGCTGCATGCCGAGCGGAGGAAGAAGGGGCAAGATCCCATGCATCAGGCTCATAAAGGACACATCTAGTCGGGCATGGTGGTGCATGCCTGTAATCCCAGCACTTGGGAGGCTGAGGCAGGAGGATCGCTGTGAGTTCGAGACCAGCCTCAGCTACATAGTAAGTTCCAGGTCAGTCTCAATGTTAAAAAAAAAAAAAAAAAAAAAAAAAGGACAGCAAGCAGAGCAGAGCTTGCCTGAAGGCAGAGTGAAATGGGAATTGACTGAAAGGGTTATCAGGAATCTCTCAGTGATGGACATGCTCTTCTGAGTTTCATTTGTTGTTTCTTCTGTTAGCTTGCAGTGCTGGGGATTGAACCCAAAGCTTCACTCACATATGCTAGGCAAGTAATCTACCCCCGACCTTCATCCTCAGCCCAGGAAATGCTCCAAGAGTAAATTTGCGAATGGTTGCACAATTCTGGGAATTTACAAAATACAATTGAATTATACACTTGTGTGTTCAGAAAATGTCAGATTTGCTGTTTGTTTGTTTGTTTGAGACAGAGTCTTGCTGCATAGGTTAGGCTGATCTTGAACTCACTATGTATCCCAGGCTGGCCGTGAACTCTCTGCGATTCTCCTGCCTCAGCCTCCCAAGTGTTAGGATTACACATGTGTGCCACTATGCCTGGCACCAGATACCTTACTGCAGGTTGTGGAGAATGTTGAAGGCTTCTGGGCAGCGCTGCAGGGGCCTCTTGAACAAAACCACTGTAGACACTGCTGATAGAATGTCCTTGCAAGTCGAATGGGATGAGATTGGGAGGGCTCACAAGCACTGTCCCACCAGCTCTCCAACGGACACTCCTTAAGTGATTAACACGCTCACATCAGACTGAGCCAGGGTCTGATCGTACCTCTGAAGAACAATAAAGGAGACAAGTAGGAGATGATGATAGGGATGGCCACCTTTGCCTGGCTCTAGGTACCCAGAGCTCATCTGCAGCCGGCCCACAGGAGCCCTGTTATCAGAGGTGGCCCCAGAGAAGGGACAGCCAGCTCAAGTGTCTGTGTGTCTGCCTCTCAGAGGGCAACATGGACATTTACCACTCGGCTCTACTCCGATCCGGCCAGTGACCAATCGCCTAGAGAACTTTAAATGTGTGTGTATGCGTTCAAAAAATAATGGTATGGATCTCACAGAATGTGATGTCCTACTATTGCAACACTTACACTAATCACCTATCATTATCAAGTGCAGGGTTCATCAGGCTGTGAAGATGGACCTTCCGCAGAATGCTTCTCCAGTCCTTCTCCCAAGACGGCCGCTTCTCTTCCCCAGACCCACCTCCCAGGAGCCAGGCACTGAAAAGAAGACTATGAGTCCTCCAGGTCTCTAGGGACATGGGAAATGGCTCAGCACACCCTCCACTGGCTGTAAACCATGCACCCCAACCGGAGCGCAGTGCACACGTCCCATTCCACCCGTCCCTCCCAGCTCTGTTCCTGACCCTTATCGCCTCCCCTGTATTATGATTGAAATGTCCTCATCCTTCAAGCCCCTTTCATTTCAGCCTCAGAGGCTCCAGCTAAAGGTATATTCAGAGGCCAGGGAGATGTTCATCTCTTCATACACAACTCCATTTATGTACCGGCCCTCCACGGAAGGTGGGGTCCAGCTTTGAAGGCGTAGGTGGAGGCTGAGGTCCGGTGGATCTTTATCTCAGCCCTGGTTTCACAGCTCTGGAATCCTCATGACTCGATGGTCATTCTGTTCCCATGAAATCATCATCCCTATGGTGGCTGAAGGCTTCCGGGAGCAGCTGAACATCCCTCTAAGCTTATCCTGTGTCCTCGGTGAATGAGATAGGCTGGGTAAACGTAGGGCTAATAGATGCCACTTTCAAAGTAACAAACAAGTCTGTGTGGAGGGCCCAGAAGGCTTTGACCCGGAGTGTCAGAAAATGAAGGGCAAGCTTCGCTCTGCTTTTTGTTATTTATGGGATGTTTCTCAGCCCAAGCGAAGGGTCACTGTTTTTAGTAAAAACAAAACAAAACAAAAAAACACTTCTAAGTTCCGGACTGCCTTAAAGAGGAGACACAAAGTGTGTTTTTGGTGACTAGTGGGCTCCAGGGCCCAGAACCTGCTGTCCTCGGTCTTCGTGGGAGTCTCTGTCATGATTCTTTCACGATGTGCTCTGGCTCTCACCTGTCTGACTAAAAGGAGCCCCACTCTTGGACTGTGGGGCCCACTTTCCCCCATTCCCTGTGAGGGTGCCCTTCTTTCTGGAACCCGCTGGGCAGTGTGTCTGGAAATGTTAACCGGCATTAGGCCAACACTTGCCCCATTAACAGAGCCCCTCTCTACTTCGGGACTTTAGGGAACCTAGAAACACTGGAATCAGCGTGGGATGTGCCGAGTCTCTTCTTTCACACCAGGCTGTCTCCAGGGTACAAGGCTGGGGGCGAGAGAGAGAGCCAGGCGGTTGAGTCTGCTGCCCTCGGTAAGGCACAGAGCTGGGTGACTCTGAGAAAGACGCACATCTTTACTCTCGGAAAAGAGAGAACACTGGGGGCTTTGCGGCCTCTCAGTCAAGCGCAGAGAGAACTCCGGAGATGTCCACCCCCACGGCCGTCTCTGGTCCACTTCAGCAACACGAGTGTCCTTGGATTTCCCCGTTGAGCTGAATGTGGAAATGTTTCCCTCTACTTGGCTCTAAGGAATCTTACAGAGGTTTAAAAAAATAAGAAAAAGAGGGCCGGGGATTTAGCTCAGCAGTTCTGCCACCTGCCTTGCAAGCGCAAGTTTGATCCTCGGTACCAAAAAAAGAAAAAAAAAAAAAGAAGAGGATAAAAAGCTTCAGGCCAGCACCCCGAGCTGGCCCGATATGGCCACAGTGACAAGCCACTGTTCGCGTTTCCGAAGAGGAGCATTGATAGATTTTGGATCTGCGGGCGGTCTCAGGATACACTTGCCCAGTGGAGAAGTTCCCCTTGGGTCGTTAAGGAAAGCCAATTGTTAACCAGCCCCAGAATGATAAATAGGGACTTGTTTTAATAAATAACTCACAC